AGGAGTGGGGGCAACACCGAGGGTTGCGATCCCGTTGCCGGTCCCAGTCCGGTACGGGTGCGACACTGAGGGTTGCGATCCGTTGCCAGTCACGAAAAAAGACAGAAAGACAAAAAGAAAAAAAAAAATTTTCTGCTGTAAAGCTATCATCCATCCACCCCCTTTTCCATACTGTACTCTTTGGAAGGAACTCACTGTGTGAAGCCCACACTTGGTACGAAGTTATGCTCCACCTCCTTGAGGGGAAAAGCAGGCTTTTTACTTATTTGAGTACTCAGTGGGACTTCCCAAAGTTGTGCAGGCCTTTGCAGGATGTCTAACATCCCTGCTCACCGTCCACTAAATACCCAACGGAAAATGCCCCGTGAGTTCGCAAAACAAACTCTAGGGGTCAGTACTGTCCTATTGAGAATCACCGGTCTAAGATTTCCAATTCTAGATTCTTTAAAGGGGAGTGTGTTAACTTAAAGCATTTATAAAGAAATCTGAGTGCAGGATCCATAGTTCTATGCTTTTCTCTTTATTTAAACATGACTTTTATGCCTCCAATTCAGCAGTAATTTATTTTAGCTATTTGCCTTTGAGAGCTCTTCATAACATTCAAATTTTTTTTATGTAAACTCATTTTATTGCTTTATATAATATTAAACTAAGTTATATATCCATAATTACAAAGATAATGGATTAAACATGTTGGTAATAGATACAATTGATAAGCAATTCATCTGGGGAAGCTGAAATGCACAGGTGTCAACTAGTTATAGTTATTCAGTCTGTCAAGGCCTGGGTTCTTTAATTCAACAATTGGCTAAGTGGCAGTTGCTTAAGAGAATGTCTACTGTAAATGCATCAATATGAGTCCTATAAATTTTAGCGAAGATTACAGAAGATTTTTAAAATAACAGTACCTAGGACTGCTGCAGTTATGATGAAATAGGCACTTTCATAGACTTAAAACTACACATCAATTTTGCTATAGGTTTCAAGAGTCATTAAAGACTTTAAAATGTTCAGATACTTTTATCTGGTAAAACTGATATTCTGGAAATCCTGTTTTCTAGGAAATAATCAGAGATTTTAAATTTTAAAATATAAAATTTGTTGCTTGCACCATTTTTCATAATAGCAAAAAATTAGAAACCAATTAAATGTTCAAAAATAAGGAAATAGTTAACTTTAATAGTACCCACAATGAATATTATCTATTCTACCTATTTTAACAACATTGAATTGTGTTTTCAAAGAACATATAAACCTATAGAGAAATGCTCTTGAGATATTAAGTGGGTCTAGAAGCTC